CCAAATTTTCCGAATTAAGACGTTTCAGGAATTTCAGATTTCCAGCATATCTCAGTGGCCGCTAAAATTTACCCCCTCCCCCGCTAACAGCCCAGAACCTCCTCTTTGCGACGACTGGTTTCAATGATTTTTTCAGGCGGGCAGCGTGGTCGTCAGTTCATTGCTGATCGTCGAAAAGCAAGTCAAAGTGAGTTGGTACCCGCGTTAGCAGTACTGCCGATTATAATCCCAAATTGACGTCAAACCAACCGGGGGCTTCTCTTTTTTTAGGCGGTCAGAATTTCCACAATAGGCCGTTGCTGCAAGCGTGCTACCTAGCTAAAATGTATTCGGCTTTTTAAACGTAAAGGAAATGGATTCGCGGGAGTACCAAGAAGATGAAGAACAGATTTCTATTAGAGGTTTTGTCTTATTTAGATCTATTTTTTTGTTTATGGTCTTGGTTTCAGGGTTTAAGCACTTTTCACCCCTCACTTTAACACTATCGCGGGTCCCTAACCAAATTAAAGCGAGTATTCCAGACATGGCAATTCCGATCGGCCGAGCCGCGCCGGCCAGGCCAGCGGCCTAATTTCCATAAAAACGCGGCCCCCTACGAGCCGCAGTAATTAGTTACTTCCGGAAATGCGGCTTCGCGGCCGAGCCCGCGTCGTTACCATCGCAGCTCGGCCGGGCCACCCACGGACAAGCCGCAAACCGGAAGTGGCTCATTGACATATCGAGAAGCCGCGAATTTCTGCCAAATCAGAATGGAAATGAGAAAATTAAGGTTGTCAAGTATGGATATTCCTCGCTAACCCAGGCTAAATACGCATTGCATCTCCGTTTACGTGCCGGGTACTCAAACTCATTTGGATGCGGCCTCAAAGCCGCGCGGCTTAGCCGCCGCGCGTGCCTCAAAACGGAAAAAGCCGCGGCCGCGCCGGAAGTGCAGCTAAGCCACGCAGCCCAGCCGCATTCTAATTTTGCGGCCAGAAAAAAGCCGCGCGGCCCCGGCATCCGACTTGCCGTGTCTGGTATTTCTACACTTTTACTATGCTAAACATCAGAATTCTAAAATAATAGAAATATAAAATATTTGTTTGCCAGTTTTTATTTCTTATTTTTATTGACCTTTTTTATATTCTTTGATTTTTTATACCTTTCCCAAGATTTCTTGATAGCTTTTCCACTTAAAAATAGGCTAAAATTTTACTAAAACATCTTTAAGAAATTTCCATTGCATTACCAGGACTAAAATATAGTAGATAAAATTTTTATCTTTTCTAAAAATCAACTCTTATATCATCATTTACAATAATATAAGTAACAAATAATAATGTAAATATAGAATTATAAAAACGCATTCCAGGTGAATTTGCGTGGGTTGTTCCACTGATCGCCATCATCGTCATCATCCTTCTCCTCCTGGCCTCGATTTTCATCTGTGAATTCCGGCGTAAACGCCGCGAGCAGCTACTGAAGTGAAAACCGATTTACGGAAATCACAATCAATAAAGCAAAAGATCAGGGAAAATAGGCGGAATCCCCAAATTTTCAGGAACCAATACGAGCCAGCCGAGGAATAGAGATGGCGTTCTCGACTCATTGTCAACCAGTCCACAAATTATGCCTTCATATGTTGATGCTCACCGCCTTCTCGCTCCTCTTTGCACATTAATGATATAAAAATATACAAAACTACAATATTTAAAAACTTTCATTAAGCACCCGCGCGTGTAGTGGCCGAGCACTTTTCCCGATGTAGCCCCGTACCGGTTCTAGACGATTTTATAATTTTCTAAATTAAAAAATCGTGGAGCGAAGCCCCTTTTCCTCTGGATTGATCCCCGCGAATCGACAGAGCATAATATAGAGCATCTCTGCTTACCTCTTCCCCTTTTGCCAACTGCCACACCCCGAATTCTCTTGTACTTATGTCGTTTTGTGATAATGCACCACCTTTCAAGCGTTTTTGCTTTTCATCTTGGCCCCAACATCCATCTAAAAATCTCCAATTATGGTATTAAATTTTGCGTTGCCCGGTTTTGGCCTGTACTTTGCAATATATTGCGAATAAATATCGTTTGTATTTTTAGAGAAAAAATATAGAACTTTTTGCAAACCCTAAATAGCAACTTAAAAACGAGAAAAAAAATACAGTTTTTAGGACAGAAATTGCAAAATGATCGTGAATTGCCCAATTTGGGAAGGGCAATGAGTCAAAATGTGTATTGAGCGCCGCGTTTTGCGAAAAACGAGTACGCTGCGCTTCAGTTTACGGCTTTACTCTGTGCGCCAGTTACATTTTCCGCTTGTTTTATTCATTTTGGGACGTGCCTGACCATCCCTTTAACATCGAGATGGCATAGGCAAAATGTGCATTGGAGCGTCGCGTTTTCTAAAGGGCTACACGGCACTACACCTTACACGATTGCTCTATGCTCTCTCTCTACCTTTTCACATTTTATTATCTTTCTAGCAAGTACGTGACGATCCGTTTAACCCTCCTAGCAATACAGCGGCCATAGCCCGTTTTCATATTTGTTTTTATCGACATATCGCTCTCCCGAACTTTACGGTGGCCCCGGTCGGCTGTAAAAGCGGAAAAATCGGCCTCTGCCGCCTGCACCCCGGCAAAGAAGCCGAAGTGCTGATAAATTATCAGCAGATCCAGGATGGCAAATCCGATTGTAAACGTGCCCATCATATCGCGGGGATTGCACAGCCCGTGACCGGTGTATATCAGCGAGCTGAAGCCGAGCACAGGGCATTGGTCGAAAAGCAGCAACGCACTTCCAGAAACCTCTAGATTCGAGCGCTGTATCCATTTATTTTGTTAGCCTAGAGTTTCAACTATAAAAACATTCATTTAGCTATAGAAAAACATACAAAAGTGGTACATTTATTTGTGTTAATGACTTCCTTTCGTTATCGTTAACTTTACGAGTTTAAAACTTGGAAAATATTTATTTAATTGGAACATCTCCTACAAAAATTCTTTTATTTTGTATCTTTACGTTATGATAGGTATTATAGCTTAGAAACAACCATTTAACTATAGAAACACCCAAAGAAGGACTATTTTACTTGATCTTACGTTACTTTCTTGCTTTTATTATTAACTTTTAGATGGCGTGGATTTAAACTGTCAAAACATTGAGTTGAGGATAGAAGAACGTATTGCTTTACTTTACGTTACGTTGGTTTCTTTCTTTAACCATTAACCTTCTATAAACCAAATTTTAGATGAAGCCGCTGTTGCTTCTCCTGCTGGCCGTCTTGGCCACCTTCGCCCTGGCGGAGGTGTATCAGCACAAGCTGATCAAGATCGAGTCCCCGAAGGCGGCGCATGATGAGGGCTGGAGTAAGCTGCAGCTTTTTAAAACTATTTTCCGTTCTTCAGTACCTGGCGAGCGCATCTGCAGAAGCGGGCGGTGATGCGTGCCCTGCGACCGCATCGTCGTGATGGGTACCCGCAGAAGGTGTTCGATTGGGATGACGAGGAATATCTCGGAAATATCACCATCGGAACGCCCGAGCAGCCCTTCAGGGTTAGTATATCTTGTAAAGCTATTGTTTGCAAATTCTGGAGGGTAGAAAACCTTGTGGAGGCAATATTCAGACTTGGAAACCCTGGCTTTTGCCCATATCTAAAAATTTTGAAAAACTCTTTATAGATTTTTACAAACTTCTATTTACGACCTCTAGATTTAAAAATACATCAAGAACGCTAAAATCAGTAGAAAATGCTTTTATACTGCGGCAAAAGCTCGATAAACTTTTTGAAATCTGCAGTTTTGAAAATTATACACTAAAACGCTAAAAATCTTTAGAAACTTAAAAAGCTCGTTGACCCTTTAGAAACTTGTAAAGGATTTTACCTCTAAAGATAATTAGATAAGAGAGATAAATTATGCAAAAGCAAGAATCATGAATTAAAAACTATGGAAACCAGCAGGAAAACACACTTTTTCTACTATAAGTTTTCCTTTTTAGGTAATCCTCGACACCGGCTCCTCAGACCTGTGGGTTCCGGATTCATCTTGCGATGGCCCGGTCAACTGCCAACATTGCCAGGAAATGGGCATCTTCTGCAATCTAGTCTGCGAAGATCCGAGCTGCTGCACCAAGTCTCCGGTTGCCGCCGGCAGGTGCCGCCAAAGATCCGTGGGGCGTGCGTGGGAAAGAACAAATTCGACGAGTCCAAATCGACCACTTACAAGGCAAATTTATCAGTTTTTAGCTCAACGTTTTATTTAGAAAGACGGCTGGCCATGGGAGATCGAGTACGGCACCGGGTCGGCTGACGGATTCAGGAATCGACACTGTTCGGTGGGGTATTTCCCTATCCCGAAATTCTGTATCCCGAAATTCTGTATCCCGAAACTCCCAATCCCGAAACTCTCTATCCCGAAAACTCTCTATCGAAAACTCTTTATCCCGAAAACTCTCTATCCCGAAACTCCATATCCCGAAACAAGTTAGCTAGCTTTAACGTACCGAACACCAGACTAGATCTTTGAAGTAAATAGTTTTCCGCTATTTTTCAGTTTCGGAAATTTGATAAAATGATTTTCCGATGCCTTCAAGGATGTAGGGCGTTAGGAAACGCAAAATACTGAGTTTCGGGATAGAGAGTTTTCGGGATAGAAGCTTTCGGGATAGAGAGTTTTCGGGATAAGCTTTCGGGATAGAGAGTTTTCGGGATAGAGAGCTTTCGGGATAGAGAGTTTTCGGGATACAGAATTTCGGGATTGGGAGTTTCGGGATACAGAATTTCGGGATAGAGAGCGGTATTCCTGTTCGGTAGCTTTTATTCTAACTTTTAAATTTTAAAATTTAGAATATTTTTTTCAAATACGTATGACTTCATAATGAACGTAATACGTTTCCTTTTTCGTATTTTGCCCTCCTTCTTGCCTTTTGCAAAGCGAAAACTAATAGATATAAAATTGAAAGCAACGTTAAAAATGATGAAATTGGGCACGAAAATTGCTTACAAAACTGTTCTGCTTTAGTTTCGGTGAACCGGGCACCAAGCAGCTCGTCGTCCCCTCCACCACCTTCGGCCAGGCCGAGGAGGTAGTTTTTAGTTTAAAATATACAAAACATTTTCTACACTTTTATATGCTTTATAAGAAAAAAATAAACTTTAGATTGCCGACTTCTTTGCCGACGATCCGATCGACGGTATTCTCGGCCTCGCCTTCACCGCCATCTCCGTCAACGACGTTACGGTATAGGGATCGCGATCTAGACAATTTGAACTTTTTCCAGCCCCACTCGTCAACGCCATCAACCTCGGCGTGCTCACCAGCCCGATTTTCACGGTTTTCCTCATGCACCAGTTTGATGGAGGTTTGTTAGTACTCGAGTTATCAAAAGTTTTTTATTATACATTAATTATGAATATTTAACTCCTAAAAACTCTTTTTTACCTCTAAACTATGCATCGATACTTTAAATTACAATTTAAAATATATTTTCACATAGTTTAACGCGTCTTTAGCCGTAAGTTAACGCTTTTACACAAATGTGGCCGTCAGAGCCGTACGACATTTTCCAATTTTCGCTACCCCGAACGACCAAACTAAATCCCCTTTTTCCAGAGGGGGTATACGGTGGTGTGTTCACGTACGGCGACTTGGATAAGACAAACTGCGGCGATCTGATCGCTTATCAGGTGGTGTCGTGGTCACCGGTCAGTCGCCACAGGGAGAAATCGTCGTGGCGGAATGTGACGGAGCCGCAGGGGCTGGGTTGTAAAGTTATACTCCCTAATTGTTCTTTTTCGAGCTTCGAGATAGGACAGGGTGGAGCATCGAAACAAATCAGAAAAACTACTCTAACGGAAGCTATATACTGTCAAAGATTTTGGGGAAATAAAAAATATGTACATATTTTTCCCAGCCTTAGAATTAAAATGTATTAATGCATCGTTGATTGTATCTCATTATATGATTTATGGGGCCATCATCAATTTAATAACTTTTACAGGCCCTCTCCTCTGCCACCTACTGGGAATACAAGCTGGACTACGTGTCGGCTGGTGGATTTGACACCAAACTCGGACTCTACGCCATTTCCGGTTGGTTTTTAGGTTGCAATTTAAACTACCGACACCATTCCACCGCCCATCCCACTGCCGCTGCCGACGGCATATGTCGATCCCCTCATTAACAAATTGGCGAAGTAGCCAACAGGGAGAGAGCGCGCCCAGGGGAGGCGCGAGACATTATTCTTTCCGCGCGTAACCGATTGACTACGCCGTCCGGCATCACTTTAAGGTGGAATGATAAGTTTTTAGTTAATTTTAATAGCTTCAAAGGGCATTTTCTCCTAGATTTCCTAACGTAATCGCTTAGACACCCCGGCACCTCGTTCATCGGAGGACCCCAATACGACACCGACAAGTTTACCGCCCGGCTACAGGCCACCTGGAATGACGAGGATCAGGTAGCTTGGCCTTTAAAATAATAACAAAATATTGATAGTAGAAAATAGACATAATTTCAAACTCTGATTTGGGTCTACGAGATTGACTGCAAGGCAGACCTCGGCCCGTTTGCCGTCACCTCATCGGCGGAATCGTCTACGACATTCAAAAGTTGGTTGGAAGAAAGCTTCTTACAGGTTTTAGGGAAAATTTAGATTGTGGCGCAGATGAGGGTAAGTGTTAGCGTCTTGTAGTCGAGGCGCCTTGACCACGCGGCGCTCCTCTGTACATGTTCACCTAATGCATTCTAAGATTTTGGAAACTTTTCGCTACAATCGTCTCTTCGTGAATTTTAAGTGGCTTTGTCAAATTATTTATTTTATTAAAACTCTATAACCGTAAAACTGCAGGAATAACATGATCGTGCCGTCGGATCAACCCGGAAACTGCTGGCTGGCCCTGTTCCCGTTCGACTCGCTGTTCGTCCCGCCGCAATGGATCCTCGGAGACCCCTTCATCAGACAGGTAAGTAATAAGAGGAAATTAATTGTGATTAAATACAGTCATATTAACAAGATTTAAAACCACTATTACAAAACCCCCTTACAGTACTGCCACACATTCGACTATGGCCGTCAGCGCATTGGCTTCTCCCCCAGTCTTCAGAAGTAATTCGATTTACTCGCGTGTATATTTATGTGCTCAAATTGAATAAAAATATTTATATATTGAAAAATGCATTATTATCGTGCGGACTGGAGGCGCTGGAATGGTAGGGAGGATGTGGTCATCCGGCTTACCGCAAAGCGTCGGAGTAGCTGGTGGATATGGGCCGCCTAGAGGTATGGAAGTTTAGTTATTCTTTCATTGAAAAATCTAGAAATTATAATTTAAATAGGCCATTTAAGAATATTGGAATTTATGTACAGGGTGCGTCAAAAAAAAAAGCCAAGTTTGCACCAAAATATCTCGCTTATCTTTGAGAATCGAAGGTACGTTACCATGCCAGAATGCTTAAATATGCTGGGTATGAAGATTTAACACAACTTGATTTTTCGATTTTCGGAGTACGCAACTGTACTATTGACGCTGGTTACGACCGAAAATTGTGCGTTCTTGAACGGGTGGTAGGAAATTCTGATTTTTGGCCTATAAATAGTTGACATTTGTAGAAAAATAATAGCAAAGTCTTAGGTTTTTGAAGGTTTAGTTCTTTTTTACAGGCAAAACAAATTTCCCTATTTTGCTTATTTTTACTTTTTAATTCGCAACTCGCTTCAAATTGGCTGCCCATGGCTGATCTTTTCCAAATAGTATCTCCGAATGATAACCTTTAGCACGACACCAACTTTTACCTGATTCTATGGTATTTTAATATTGCTTGCTAAACGTGCCCCAGAGGGATACTGTAGTTTTTGTTTTTCGCGTTTTTCTTTTGTGTAAGCTGCGATTTCGCCAAAATTTTATCATTAGTAGAAACATCAGTAAGGGTCACCTATTGGCTAAATTTCCCAAAGTTCTAGCCATACACCTTCCCCAAAATATGCAAAAACTTATTTTTGAATTTAGCCACGGAAATTTCTAAATATTTTGATGCATCGGACTAAAAGCTACTATTATTTGTTTTCCTGAAAGATCAGAAACGTTTCTATGGTGAAAAGAACAGAAAACCGCGATTTTCTGTTTTCTACAGTAACCCGCCTGGAGCGCGTTTTAGCATGCCAAGACAAAATGCCATAAAATGCCAATTTTCTATTCTATAGTGTTCTCTGGGTGATTGTTAGAGCACCTACAAAAATTACTTGATTCCTGTGGCAAATGACAAGGTTATCAGGGAAAGAGGAAAACCCACCCTGGGGCCCGATTTTGGACCCGACGCCTGGCTCGAAAATCGAATTTTGAAAATGAAAAAGGCACCGGGGTTTGGTGGATACAATTAAATTACGCATCGAAAAGTGTATGAAGCAGGAATTCTGGAATGATCTGGCTGAAGTTAATGGTTGATTTTGATTTAAAACTCGAAAGTAACGTTTTTGAAAAGCCGACTTTGGGAGCTCTTCTAAATTCGTTTGCCAAGAACAGATTTTGTATTTGCATGGGTTCTAGTTGACTACCCAAGCTGAGTTTATGCCAAAAAGTTGAGGCTACTCAAGCCTCGAGAAATTTTTCCGGCGCCTCGAGTTCGGGTATATTTGGACTTTTCATGAATTTTTTTGAAAGATCGGATGGCCCAATAAATTTGTAGATATAATTTTGAGAATGCGCCTATTAAGTAGTATTAAATAAAATTACGACAATATTTCTAACCGCGCAAATGAATTTTATAGACTGGCACTAAGGTCTGCGAAATAGCAAGTACCAACCGTTTTGGAGGCGCTAAAAGACAACCTTCCGAAGGGGTACGGTAGCTAGAAATTGTTTACATGATAGATGGACCCCAGTCCTACACAACTAAGCAAAGCAAACACCGGAATTCTATCTGCAATTTTGAAATATTTTTCCAAAGTTCAGTTTCGTGACCTCGAAAAAATCCAATGACCAGTCGTCGAAAAGGTCGTCGCAAAACTCAAAAATCCGCGGATCTGAAATTTTTTTGATATTTTTGCGGGATTGTATCGAGCCTATAGACATGCCAAAAGAGCTTATTTTGAGGTTTCCGCCATAGGTTTTTGTAATATTCGAAATTTACGAAATTTCTCCATATTAAACTTGAGCATGCTATAACTTGCCAACCAGACCTTCAAAATTCTAAAATTCGGGATGTAAGCGTAGGGGCAGTCCTTAGGTACCTACACTGTAAAAATTGGAAGTGTTCGACCACCAACAATCCTAAAAAATGCAAACGAAGTTTGGCCGGAACGCACAGTTTTCGGGTGTCATTTGTATGGGTACGTCGCCAAAAATCGAAAAAATCAAGTTGTGTTAAATCTTCATACCCAGCATATTTAAGCATTCTGGCATGGTAACGTACCTTCGATTCTCAAAGATAAGCGAGATATTTTGGTGCAAACTTGGCTTTTTTTTTTGACGCACCCTGTATAAAATTCATTTTAATATTCGCCAATAATCTCTGCTAGCTCACCCACCTGTTTCGTGGCAATCCGAAATTCCATGATCCTCGGGCTCTGCATGTCAATGTACGGCTTATCATCTGGCGGTGTCCACACCAGGTGCTAAAATGGTTACGGTATTCTTCCAGATTTTATTAAGAAATACCTGCAGGGAAAACCTGAAGACCAAGGCCTTGGTCTCGTCGTTGATCACATGGATCCCATCGTCGTTTACGCCCACGCGGACCGGGATTATCGTTTGGAACGGCTGAATTTGGGGGTTCGGTAATTAGGCTGTCAAAATTATTAACGAGACACCGGTTCGTTAGCGGGGGTCTTTTTCATATATTCCTGTAGGCGCCCTTGACGAAATGGAAGCCATTTTAATTGGAAATAAAAATTTTATAAAAAAGTTCATCAAATTTAAAAATGAACGTTTTCACCGAAAAATGTTAAGATCTTGGGCAACTACCAAAAACGATACAAATGGTAACGAACCCCTCCCCCCACTAATGAGCCAGAACCGGGAAAAAGGCATAAATTCCAACCTTGGTAAGGTACAGCTGGGCATCAAAAAAGTGAGCTCCGTAGGCGCCGAAAACCCCAGCAGGTGTGGAGGAACGTCAGCTGCAGGGACAGAAGGTTCTGATTTTGCAGCGTCTAAAACTTAATTTTACATACCTACTACATATTTTTATATACTATTAAAAAACTAACTTCGTATTCCTTGGCAATGTTCATCAACGTGCGTTTGGGTTCCTTATTGGCCAAGTGCGGCGGCATCACTACCTTCAGGTTAGGCGCGCTAAAAAGAAATTTATATAAAGTATTTTTACTTTTTTATACAGTGACTTTTAAAAAGCGCACGCCGCCCACCTGACAGTATGTTTTGGACCGTAGATGATCGCCAACGAGGATGGCGGCCAGGGATGATGGCATCCTGAGCATCGCTGGGTAGAAGCCGCGCAGGGGAAGAAGCCCGCGCGCCTCCTCGTACAGCAAATATAGGGCCTTGTCGTTGAATCCTGCCGCAGAGAAAACGCTAAGTGAAAAAGTTTAAAATAAATGTATAAAAGCGTATTTATTATTTAAAAAATAAATCTCGCATAAATAAACCTATTTTCGAGACCTTTTTCTCCTCGGCTAATGGGCAATGAGCATTATGACGGGAGACGAGCCGCGGTTTGCCCGGCTTTCGCGCGCTCTCTCCCTTCCAGCGGCGTTCCCCAGCGCTCCACCTAAACAAATATTTTCACTTTTGCCATAGAATTCCTTACAGAATTTGCCCATTTCTTTGGAGCCATATGGTGCAGAACCTTGTGCTCTTTCTTGAGTTGAAGGGCTGGAAAGTATGGGGGGTATAACCATACTATTACTAAGATGAATGTCCAAAAATACCTACAAAGCTCGTCGGAGACCAGCCAGAGGGCAAACACCAAGGTCGACACGATTCATCGAACCCATATTCTTTGACACACGGCGTCGAGAAGCTAAATTTTCTCTGTTTGGTTTCAATGGTGAAGAACTTCTGCAAAAAAAAATGTAAAAACTTTGACGAAAATCGGCCATTTTTACTCGAAAAATCAATACTTTTGTATTAGTTAATAAGAAATTATAAAGTTTTTACGTTTGGGGATGAGTACAAGGTGTATCAAAAAAAGGGTTTTAGTTTGTCCCCAAGTATCTCGAGAAGGAAAAATATTTCACCGTGCGTTACCATGCCAGAATGCTTAAATATGTCAGGAATAGGGAAATAACTCAACTTGATTTTTCGATTTTTTGGCGACGTATCAATACAAATGACACCCGAAAACTGTGCGTTCGGGAAAATTTCAATTGCATTTTTCTCAATTTCGTGTGGTGGCTGGCTTCTAATGTTTACAAGGTAGGTTAATCTAAGCAACAGATGTGCACCGAAAAAATCTCAGATTTTTTCAGGGTCCTGGTCCACAAGTTATGCACCACTGAAATTTTGTATGGAAAAAATTTCGCGAATTTCGTGTATTACAAAAAACCTGTGGTGGAAATGTCAAGATAAGTGGTTTCAGAAGATCCACGGGCTCGACACAATCGCATAAAAATATTTTAAAAATTTTTAAGATCTATGAATTTTCGAGTTTTTCGACGACCCCCGGGTCATGGATTTTATTGGGGTCACGGCAACGAACTTCGGGAAAATATTTCTAAAGTTGCGAGATGGAATTCGGCTAAGTTCTTTTCTTGGTTGTGTAGGGACTGGGGTTTATCTATCATCTGCAAGAATTTGAGCTACCGTACCCCCTCGGAAGGGCTTGCCTTTTAGGGCCCCAAAACGCTTGGTTCGTGCTATTTTGCAAACCCTTACTTCCTTTCTATAAAATTGAATTGTGCCGCCAAATTCTCGCTACATTTTTGTTTGATACTATCTAGTTGGCGCATTCAAATAGTATATTGACGAATTTATTGAGCCATGCGCTATCTCGAAAAGAAATTCATGAAAAGCCCAAATATTTCCGAATTCGAGGCTATGCATTCCTCAATGCGCTAGTAAACGTGGAAATTTTTAGCATAAACCAGGCATGAGTAGTCAATTAAAACCATGCAAAGAAAAACTTTTTCTATGGCAGCGAATTTTAGAAAAGCCCACCGAAGTCAGGTTTTCAAAAACGTCATTTTGGCTTTAAGCCAAAATTAGTTCATGAACTTCTAACTGATCAGTCAAAATTCCACTCTCATGCACATTTCGATACGTGCTGTAATTTTATCCACCAAACCCCGGTGCTTTTTAATTTTCAAAAATTGTTCGTTTTTTTGACCCGGGGCTGAGATCCAAAAATGGGGCCCCGAGGAGGGCTCTCCTCTTTCCCTGATAACTTTGGCATTTACGACCGGAAATACGTGATTTTTTGCCGATGCGCTTACAGTAACCCGGCGAACAGTCTACAATCGAAAATGATCACTTTATGGTATTTTGTCTTGGCATGCTAAAATGCGCTCCAGGCGGGTTACTGTAGAAAACAGAAAAAATTCGCCGTTTTCGTGATCTTTTCACCATGGAATCGTTTCAAACTTTTCAGAAAACAAATAATAGCAGCTTTTGGTCCGACCCCATTAAAATAAGTTGAGTGGAATTTCCGTGGCAGAATTCAAAAATCCGCTTTTACCATATTTTAAGCAAAGTGTGTGGATAGAATGCGGCGATATTTGGCCAATGGGTGCCCCTTACCATTGTTAAGCAATGATGTAAAATTTTTTAGGCGAGATCGTAGCTTAGGTCAAGAGATAAATGTGGAAAACGAAACCCGCCAGTATCCCTCTCTGGGGCACGTTTTAGCAAGCAACAGAAAAATACCATAGAATCAGGTAAAATTTGGTGTTGCGCTAAAGATTATCATTCGGAGACACCATCTGTAAAAGATCAGCCACATGGGCTGCGTATTTGAAGCGAGTTGCGATTTAAAAAGTAAAAATAAGCAAAAATAGGGAAATTTGTATTGCTTGTGAAACTAAAACCTGAGCTGGAAAATTTCTAAGATTTGGCCATTACCTTTTACAAATGCCAACGATTTTTGGGCCGAAAATCAGAATTTTCCCACCACCCATTCGGGAACGCACAATTTTCGGTCGTAACCACCGTCAATAGTACAGTTGCGGTACTGAAAAATCGAAAATTCTCGCTGAGTTATTTCCTATTCCTGACATATTTAAGCATTTTGGCATGGTAACGCATTTGTGAAATATTTTTCCTTCTCGAGATAATTGGGGACAAACTCGATTACTTTTTTTTGATACACCCTGTAAAAAATAGAAAAATCGGATTTCAGGATAAGCCTCCCCCGATAATGCGCAGGCACCGATTTTGCATAATTTCAT